CGGAACGCGGCTTGGTGCTTATTTTCTGCTTCAGCTCCTAACTGCCCCATCCCCGTCCCATCCCGGACTCGCACCGAGTAGACCCCAGGTAGACCCTGCCAAGTGCTCCCAGCACCCACGCGTTGCTGAGCCTCCTCCGTGCCAGTTGACGATACTTAGAGATAAAGGTCCTTGGCACCCAGTGGGACCAAAACCGCTGCATTTTGCATCATTACGAAGCGCTGACTGGTTTGAAAGCGGGGGGACGGCTCCCGTAGCATCCCCTCCGCACAACTCCCGACCGGGCTGCTCCGTGTCCCTGGGGTTTCTTGGAGAAGGGAAGAAGTCTCCATTCCTTTGCCTGGATGAAGCCAGTTTTAACTGCTGTTGTGGTGGCCATCGACTGGTATCTGCTGGGGTTATTCCAAAGACGGTTTTGGCACGGGGGTTTTTTTTTGAACGGCTCCCACATAAAGTCAAAGCTGGAGGGGTTTATTTTTCCCACTGACAAATGGTCATTTAAGCGGGAGATTTTTAATACAATCAGTGAGAACTGCCCATGTAAAAGGAACCCACGTCTCTCCCCTGTATTTTTCTTGCATGGAGTGGAAAGTAAACATTGACTGGCTTTGAAACACAGCTACTATTTTGACAGGTTCCTCTTCCAAAAGCACGGCTCGGCTTTCTCTTCAGCCCCATTGTACTGTCTAAACAAAGTTAGATTTTTATTTCCTAAGCAAAGTGAAAAATCCGTCTGCCTTTCTCCAGTTATTTGGCAGGAACGTAGAAAATACCAATTTTTCTTTTGCTTTTCTTTCTTTCAGAAGGTCCTTTGGTCAGGAGGGGTTCCTGGCTTGGCAACCCCAGGGCTGTAAATCCTCTGTTAATCCAGACTCGGGCAGGTGCAACGCGAATTCCCTCCCCTGCTCGCCCAGTACATTTCCACTGCCGCTGCAAAGGGAGAGCAGAGGTTATTCCCTCTGACGCGTCCAGTCCACGGCCCCTGCGGAGCCTGCTGGCAGGTCCGCTGCTGGCCGACACAATACACCAGTTTGTTTCCTAAAACCGTCGCTCCGATAGCTGCACAGCCTGTGCGGGCTCAGCCTATGGGCCAGGCTCTGAAAAACCGCATGTCTCGCCTCCGCTGCCATCAGCCACCCACATTTTGGTATAAGGGCAATAATATCCTTCCCCCTCTGAAAATTAGTAGAAGTTTTAGCATGGACTTCTGTGAGAGACTGACCTAACGGAGTAAGTAGAAACTGTTGGAGTATTTCGCTTGGCAGTACAAGTTGTACTTTTATAGGGTATTTGTCCTGTTTACCCAAGAGGAATAAATCCCGCAGAAGTTCGAAGCCATTTAGGAAATAATACTGATTTTTAGCTGGATGTCTGCATAGCTAAGAGTTACATCCCTGGCTTTCCATAGGCAATGCTGGTCATCTTTCCTACTCCATTTACGTATGTTCAATACACTGCTCAAGTTCTGTAGGTTTGGGGTTTTTCCCCCCCTGCACGGTGTGAGTACGGGCAGTTACTGTCACTGAAGGGTCAAATCAAATCAAGGTCTGCTTTCAAACGCTGCCGGTACCATTGCCGTCCAGCTGGCTTTGCAGCTGAATCCCTCCGGGAGATGCTCTTGTTGGTGATGGGTGACACGCCGCAGGGCTGGAGCTCCCCACGTCTCCCGGAGGTGTCTGAGCAGGGTTGGGGGTTGCTCCCTTCTGCTGCTGCCGCAGGTCCTCGCCCCAAAGCCCTGGTCCGGGAGGGCACGTCGGTGGCTGCGGAGTTTGCAGTGAGTCCCCTGCCTTCAGTGGGTCTGCTCCTGAGGCCACACCAAGTTCATGTCCAAGGCCCAAACCTCTTTTTTATATAACCTACAGGATTCAGATTTTCTTAACGTGTAGAGACCTTAGCCTACAGTTGGCCAAAAAGTGCCTGCTGTTCTCCCTTTGGCTCAGAGCTGTTGGCAGGTCTGGTCCAGGTCTCCACCGCAGGGGTGTGCCCCAGGGGAACTTGCTCACCGCAGCATCCCTGATGCCTCGTCTCACACGGAGTTTTCCTTTTTTTCTAAAAAATGCCAGAGCAAACTGGGAAGAAGACAAAGGGTAAGAAAAGTGACCCGAGAAGGAAAGGAAGAGATGGTAGAAAAAATAGTCCCGAGAAGAAAGAGAAAAGGAAATCAGTCAACGAAACTGTATTGGGACAACTGGGTAAGTCTGATTTTATGGGCGCAGAGTTGACCCGTGCTGCTGGAGGCTCCCTGCTTTGGGGAGCAGGGTGGAGTCCCAGCCCCGATCCCGCCTGCACGTACACGGCGGAGTTAACACCCGAGCCCTGGGAGCCTCTTCCATCTCTCCCTTGTGGGCACCAGCCTGAATTACTGAGGTCCTAATGATTATTGATAATCATCCCAATGATAAACCTTAATGATTCTACGATTCCATGGAGACGCGGTCCCTGGCAGGGCAGGGGCTGTGAAATTCCACCCCCCCACCCCCAAGCCCCAGGGCTTGTGCCCGGATCGGGAGGACGTGTTACAAACCTTGCGACGTGCTGCTGAAGCGTGATTTCGCTTCCCGGTGATAAAATCAGACTTACCCGCGCCGCAGCAGGGCTAATCCCCCGTGTCCTCGGTGCTGTGCCCTGACGGAGAATGCAGCGGACGGGCCGTGCGTGTTCATGACGCGTACTGCCCAGGACCGCGCGGTCGTGCGGGTCGTGCCGGCGCTCCGGGAGCGTCCAGGAGGCAGGCAGAAGGCACGGCTGGTCTCCTGAATTTGCTCGGGCGGCGACGAGACGCGGGCTGGCTCTGCGGATGCTTCACCCACCTCCGGCTCTTCCCCGTCGGCTGCTGGGGGGGGTAAAAACTGAACAAAACGGTCTTTTTTTGACAAGATCCTTGGCAACTGCCTACGGTTTTTGCACGGGATTGGGGTTTTGTTTGGCTTCCTCCGGCGCTGTCACCTCCGCCAGCATGCGGGGCAGGAGGTGATGAGTTCACCCATGCTCAGCTGCCCCGCGGGTGCAGAGGGGTTGCGCCGGTCCCGTGGGGCTTTTGGACAGTCTGGGGTGCTGTAAAACCCACCTGGGGGGTACAGAGAGTTTCTGTGGGAGGTCTGGGGGTCCGGGCCACTGCTTTGCTCTGCTTTGCCCATTGCTCGCCCTGACTCTGCTGCTTCCTTTTCACCCCAAAGCCGATGGGTTGTGGGCAGGAGCCCCTTTGGAATGGCTTTTGCACTCATCCTGCCTCTCTGCTGTTCTCGGCTAAAGAAACTTCGGATTTTCTGGGGCAAATTCCATCAAATGATGGAGGGCTTGGGTGTCTCTGAGAAAAGCTGCACTTCTACAAGCGGGGGAAAGCAGGCAGCTGACCCAAACGTTCACCGGGGTCGTGTAACCTCCTGGATTTTGTAACGGGCTTGAAGCATCAGCTGGGGCCGCGGTCATCGGAGGAGGGCTGCCTTCCCCAAAAGGACCGCGGTGATCTGCCAGGAGGTGTGGGACCACCACCTTGACAGCGCCGGCTCCGAGGGGGGTCAGAGCTGACCGACCTCCCCAGTGCCGCCCGTGAGCAGCCCTGGCATTGCGCAGGGCGTTCTGTTTGTCCCCCGCGGTGCGGGGTCGCTGCCCGTATCGCTGCGCGCAGGGCAGGGTGATGCAAAGCTGCCATCGAGACCGGCAA